TAATCAGAGCCCTGGCTACGTCTTTCGAGGGCTCGATAAACCTTCTACCGGTAAATAAAGAGCGATACATATCTTTCACGAAGAGCGTCAAGGATACGATCGTACGTTTTCGATTTATTGACTCGTTTAGATTTATGTCGAGTAGTATCGAGAAGCTAGCATCCTACTTGAGAGATGAGGAAAAATCAATTACGCGTAAACATTGCAATAGTGTAGAGGAATTTAACTTGTTGACTAGAAAGGGTGTCTTTCCATACGAATATGTCGACAGTTGGGAAAAACTTGAAGAGGATCGATTACCACCTAAAGAAAAATTTTATTCGAAATTAACCAATGAAGGAATATCGAACGCAGATTATGTACACGCTTCAAACGTTTGGCAAACATTTCATATCGAGACATTGGGTGAATATTCCGATTTATATTTGAGAACGGATGTTTTACTTCTTGCTGATATCTTTGAAAATTTTAGACGCGGATGTTATACCGTATATAAATTAGATCCTCTACATTATTACACTGCGCCCGGTCTTGCTTTCGATGCTATGCTTAAGTGTACCGGTGTGAAACTCGAGCTCTTGACCGACGTGGAGATGTTGTTTATAGAAAGAGGTATCCGGGGTGGCGTAGCTCAATGCTCCAATAGATACGCCAAGGCGAATAACAGGTACATGGGAGATGATTTCGATTCGAGTAAAGAGGAATCGTACCTTATGTATTATGATGTCAACAATTTGTATGGTGCAGCTATGAGTCAGGTTTTACCATTAGATTCCTTCGAGTGGGTGGAAAATTTCGAGCAATTGGATATTCATCAAATTCCCGATCGACATGGAATATCCGGTCGAACTTCAAGAACTTCATAAAGATTTACCACTTTGTCCACACCGATACACTCCTCCAGGCTCCAACGTCTCTAAATTGATAACGTCACTTCTCCCGAAAGAAAGATATATAATTCACTACAAGAATTTGAAACAATGTTTAAAATTAGGTATGAAATTGATAAAGATACATCGTGTTCTAAAATTTAGACAGACTTCGTGGCTTAAAAAGTACATAGATCTAAATACCGAATTGAGAAAAAAGTCTGATAATGACTTTGAAAAAAACTTTTATAAACTGATGAATAATGCAGTCTTCGGTAAAACGATGGAAAATGTTAGAAAACAAAAGGACGTTAGACTTGTCACGAAATGGGATGGAGCCTATGGAGCAAAGGCTCTAATTGCTAAACCAAATTTTCATAGCTGTACCGTATTTGATGAAGATATGGCTATAATCGAATTGAATCGCACAAAAATTAAATTCAATAAACCGATATACGTAGGATTTTCCATTCTAGACATCTCTAAAACGCACATTTACGACTTTCATTATAATTATGTCAGGAGTACCTATGGTGATAAGGCGAAATTAATGTACACGGATACCGACAGCCTCCTCTATCATTTTATCGTTCCGAATATATACGATGACATGGTGCACGACTTAGAAAAATTCGATACTTCCGACTACCCTGTAAATAATATTTTCGGTATACCGTTAGTTAATAAAAAGGTGTTAAGCTTAATGAAGGATGAGAACAATGGGAAAATTATGACCGAGTTTGTAGGATTGCGAGCAAAATTATACTCGTTCAAAATTTTCGGAGAAAACAAAGATAAGAAACGTGCGAAGGGGGTCAAAGGGTCTACGTTAAGAACCATTACCTTTGACGATTATATACAATGTCTCTCGCATCATCAAAATTTAGTTAAAAATCAAAATTTAATTGAAAGTAGAAAACATAATGTTTATAGTATACAACAAAGAAAACTAGCACCGAGCTGGAATGATAACAAGAGAATCATTGTTCCGAGCACGACTGATACACTCCCATGGGGTTGTAAAAAAGTGTAAGAAATTAGAATTTGAAGGTTCACGATTAACGTTTAATATTATCATCTTGGAGAGAGTACGAGCTCCTAGATCATTTGATCCTTTAAAGAAGTACCGACTCTGAGCAGTCAAAACAACTCGGATAGATTGCAACCCTTTGTCGAACCGAACAGTACCGAGTGGAGGGGAGATCTTTTAAATAATGCTCCAGAGTGCAGCAGTTCATTCACAGTCAAAATGTCTAGACCCGAATACACAAATTCTGCCGGACATCGTCGTGTCGGTTGAGTGGATGGACGGTTATCTTGAAGAAGCGCAGTTGGCGATTCTCACCGTCATGGATGTTCAGGACCGCCTGAGTCGATTCTCAGGCCCGGGGTTCAAGTGTGTCACGGAGATAAATAATGTCCGAACTGAAATGAGAAATGAGGGGCAACGCGTCAAATTTCAAAAAATATAAGATAAGTGTAAAAAATGTTTTTCTTTTTCTTTTCATTTTCTTTTAATTTTCTTTTTCTTTTTCTTGTAATTTTCTTTTCATTTTCTTTTTATTTTACTTTTCTTTTCCTTTTCTTTTCTTTTTTTAATTCGTTTGTTGATAATTTTCAATTTTTATTTCAGAGATGGCGGTAGATGGGCGGCGGCAGAAATTTTAGCGAGCTAGCAGCCATCGACGGTGAGCCAGCAGCCACCCACCTCCATCTTCGTTGTGACCTTCAGTTGCCTCCAATCACGTCGCCGCTCTTCAGCGGTGATCTACGGTGGCACCAGCGGCCACCCACCTCCATCTTCGTTGTGACCTTCGGTCGCCTCCAATCACGTCGCCGCCCTTCGGACCCTTCGCCATTGTTCAAATTAATTTTTAAGCGAAAGAGTGTAAAAATAAACCACCAAAAATGTAAAATATCTAACATTTATTTTTTCCACCTGTAACACATCCACTGAAACCACCTTCGAATCAGTCGATTCGAATACAACACTTTATTTTAAGGGTATTAGACCAAACTGCCCGAAATTTTGACACGTCACTCCTAATCATCTAAGAATTGTCCTGACACATTCAAAATTTCGATTTTTTTAACTTTTTTAACTCAGCCTAGACCAGAACCAAAATGGTGTCGAGCTCTCATATTTCGATCAATATACAATTATCGAAGGCTCCGATATGAGAATCGAAAGGGTCAGGACAATTTTACAACAATTTAGACCACTCTGGTAATCGATAAACTCGTATTTGAACGGGATAAAGGCAAAAAGTGTTGTATGCGCTTTTATGCTAAAAACGATGGGAATACGAGGTCTTGGCATGAAAGTTTAATTGACCTGGAAATCTCAGATGGCGCAGCGGGTCCCTCTGCAGTCAATTAGGGTCCCAGAAAGCATAAATTCGGAGGATTTCTGGAGTTTTATTTCGATTTCTCGATATTTATTGTACGAAAATGACAGGTTTAGTATGCCATTTGGTACAATATCCAATATAATTCGATACAGCTGTCAATACAAAAACGAACGTCGGTAACGTAGGCATTTAGAAAAATCTTCTTTATCGTTGTCAATCAAGTTCCTCGACATGTTTCACTTCACCTTAACGTCGTTGAGTTCCTGTTCATGGAAACCGCCAGCGGCCGACTCCATCCTCACCGTTCGCCGTCGTCATTATTGGAATTAATTTTTTAAGTACAAAAGGAATGAAATAAACCACCAAAATGTAAAACTGTCTAATCTTTATTTTCACACCTTTTACACATCCGCCTTACAAATCCAACTATTATGCGAATCGTCAAACCCTAACCATTTCACGAAAAGCCTATTTCCACGCTTCCTGAGCACCTTCTCTATAAGATAAACATCGGGAAATTTAACGCCGTTAAGTTCCTGTTCATAGAAACCTCCTTCGATGGGGTGATCCTGATAGTCTTTAAGTTTATACGTCACCGGATCGGTATTTTTAATTTGACTTATCGTACAAATTTCCGTTGTCCAATTAGATGTATAGCCTTTCTCGAAAATGTGTTTAAATTTATTTACTCGCACCTTATCTCCTACTTTAAACTTTGATCGTTTAAGCGTAGATTTAGTCTTAAAATTGCCGAATACCCGTTGCAATAATATCTTCTCATTCTTAGCGGTAACATCTGCGGGCCTCATACCAATGGTTCGGTGTCTACTGTTATTGTAAGAGGATACCAAACCCGATAAAAGATCCAACCACCGATGATTACCCCGTCAGCTGAATTGCATCCACATACTACTTTTCAGAGTCCGATTAAATCGCTCGCAGATCGATGCCTTCAAGTTGCTAAATGTCGAGTATAGCGTGATATCGTGTTTTCGCATCAGATCTTGGAATTCGAAATTGTAAAATTCTCGACCTCTGTCAACGTGTAATTTCTTAAGGGTCAGACCCTGCACCAGTATAGATGTCATAGCCGCCGTCACATCTTTAGCATTCTTACCCCTCGACGCGACGGTCCAAGCTAATTTTGAAAATATGTCGATAACGGTGAGCAGATACTTGTAGCCACGGTTCTCTCTCACATAGGCTGACATGTCAACGAGATCGGCTTGCCAGGTCTCGTCCAATCCACGGATATCGACGCGTCTGCGTCGATAATTTCTTCTAGCAGGTTTATGCAGTTCCTTCACCACGACTAACTTTTTTCCATCCATTTTCCAATACATTCAGTCTGGCGTCCAGTTGAGAAATGATCTCCGAGTTGCGGATCGCCAGGTCTTGTAACGATCCAATGTCAACTCGCAATCCCATCAATGCTTTTCTCACGGTAGAGTCGAGACCTTGAATCATTACGTTGTTGCTATCGATATCGCTGCGCATCCCTGTCATCGTATGGAATACCGTAGCGATTTCCTGCTTCACAACAGTTTTCATGATATTTAATGTCACGGCATCGTTTTGATCCTTGGGAGTGGCAACGTTGCACAGCCTCTTGTTATCTATATCGTACTGTCCATCAGCGGTAATCTTGAAGCCGACTCCGGGGATACCACGGTTACTCGTAATCGGGGTTCTGCTGCTCAGCTGACGTCCAAACACGTAGACGCTCATTTTTGGAGTGATGATCGCGATCGTTTCGACGAATTAATAAACAATACCCGCCTCACGCAATTCCTCGAGAATCGATACGATTTCGTTCGAGTGACTGGGGTAACCAACCAGCCTCCTGAGACGCGAGAAGAAGACGAAGACGATCCACCAATTCGTTAGGATCGTCCCAGTATACGTAATCCGTTCGCCCGTTCTTTACAGCGATCATATACCGAGGTGGTACGACGCCCTCACCCACTACCGAGGATTTATCGATCAGTTTTACGATAATGTTGCGAAATTTGGAAATGTTGCTCCCGCGAACGGCACCATGCGGAGTATAATACTTTCTGTACGCATTCGTTGCTACGATAATTTCTCGATAATTATCTAAGTCATCCTGGGTGAAGTCAGTCTCATCGGGTACTTTCTTAAATAAAAGTTCCATCAATCCGACTGTTCTTACATAACTCGTATCACCTACATGAATTCGATCACCCTCGAAGCTTATAGACGCATCACCAATCATTAGCCTATTCTTAGACAGTTTGCGTACACCGTAGACCGTATCCAGAGTTTTCTGTTTATTGGATCGTAACATATCGAGATACCGTTGCACCGAATCATCACTCCCATCCCCTACTTCAGCATCCTCTTCTTCTTCGGTGAAATCACCTTTCGTCGACTCGAAAGATTCATCCATCGCATCATCATCCTCATCTTTTGGCGATTCGAAGGATTCATCGACTGCATCGTTTCGTTTTACCTCTCGTTTTATCTCATCCATGATCAGATTACGCTCCGTTTCATTTACTAATTTCTTAAGCGGTGAAACTACCGGTTTAAAGACGTCACTCATCGCTCGTTCGATGTTTTATTTGTTACAGGGCGGCCGAGCGGATGCGAGGCCGGGGTAATTCGGATGGAGATTACCCAAATCTTGCGCGTAACGTTTATTTTGCGTTTGTGAGGAGATTGGTCCGAGCGGCTAGATCAATTCCTCTGGTGGGATCTAGGAGAGTGAGGGATAAAAAGGGAGTGCGAACGAAAGGCTATGTGGCGATAAGAGTTGTGTTTATTCCTACGCGAGGTCTGAACTAGTCAGCTGTGAGGAGCACACGAGGTGCCTTGATCTAATTTCTCTAAGTTAGTATATTTCCGCGTCGCGGCGGTTCGGATGTCGCGATAGCGCGCTTTAGCGGCGGCAGGTTACTGGACGCCGGAGTTCTGACGCGAGAATTCTTGATATTTTAATGGTGATCTGCGCGTGATTCTATCTCGTGATGCTGAGATTCGAGCTCAGCTGTTAAAAGAAAGTTGACGGGTTCTCAATCTATCCGGTTAACCGGAGCAAGGCATGGAAATCGCGATAAGGGTTAGTATTCGGTTTTCGATAATCGGTATTTGGTTGGAGGTCTCCTAGAAGCCTCCCGTTCAACGGAAGTCGCAGTGCCGCCGTCTAGTCCTGACTCGGTGGCTGGATCGCTGGAGTACCGGATGGCGCTACTGCAGCTCGCAGGATAGTGGTCCTTGGCAAGGAGTCCAATGGTCTCGGTCTCTGACTCGCTAGGAACGGAGTACCGGGGCCAGGAGCTCCACTCGAAGTTTCGATGACGACTGACGTTGACTGATGTCAAAATTACTTGTGACGTGTGACGTGTGACTAAGACCTGTGTCTTGATCGAACTGCTGGTTTTATTAGCAGGATGTTCCAATTGGTGGGGGTTTCCTAGGGCCCAGGTGAGGGTGGCGTTTCTGAGTCGTGCTGATGCGTTGCGGAGTCATCAGGTTGTTTGCCTCGGGTCGGTCGGTGACTTTTGGAGCCGATTGGCCGATGAACTCGTTGGATTCTTTCGCAAGAGTTTCGCGTTTCTGTACTCGAATTTCCATGGCTAGCTCCGGTGATTGAAAAAAAAATAGGGTTTTTCCCTATGTTAGGGTACGGACGGTACCAACGTAACATATTTACCCGATTTTATCATTCGATGCTTCCTGCGAATCGCGTCACTAGCTTTCGCGATTTGATGCAGGATATTTTTTTGCTCTCGAAATTTCTCACGTTGCATGTTGCTATCGCTAAATCCGAGACGCTACTGTGTTCATTCTTTCGATGATCCTTCATTTATTCGCACGAAACAGTCGAATCCTTTACGATGTCTACCTCCGTTAAGCTCATTGTCTTATCGATAACGAGAAACCCGTACATATCGTCCTTCCAGCATACCGTGCACAGGTCTTTAAATTGTGCGTGTGGCCGAAAAAGCAACCGCTTGGACCGTCACGAACTTAATGAAAGCTAAATCGAAATTTGGAATGGGAAACAAGAGGAAGAAGCCTAAAGCGATCGCGCTGCGAAAAGTTTTCGATGCGGCGAAACGATCGATGATTCCGAGTAACGATGCTCGGATCGCTATCAAATCTGCTCTCAAGGGTGCGCAAATGGTCGTTAAACAAGCGGGTGAAAAACGCAACGTTCGTAAACCGCGCGTTCTACCAGTACCAACAAAAATTGGAGGCTTCCTACCCTTTCTCGTTCCCGTGTTTTCGGGTCTCAGTGCCGCTGGAGCGTTGGCCGGTGGAGCGGCAGGCATCGCTAAAGCTGTAAACGATGCGAACGCATCCAAGGAACAATTGAAGGAAAGCGAGAGGCATAACAAGGCGATGGAATTCATTGCACTGGGCAAGGGGTTGTACTTGAAACCCTATAGGAAAGGACTGGGTATTCACGTGAAGCCAAAAAACTTGAAACGAAACTACCACACCGGGCGTTAACCGATGCCGACCTGCTCAAGTACGCGAAAATCGTCAAGATACCACATTTTCGTGGAGTCTTTATGCGGAACGCTATGCCGAAGAATGGACCGTACAGATACGAATCGGCGATAGTCAATCTCGACGACGAAGATGGTCCCGGAACTCATTGGGTCGCATACAAGAAGACGAACGATCGAGTCGTTTATTTCGATAGTTTCGGTAATCTTCGACCGCCATTGGATCTCGTGAGATATCTCGGTGTTGGTAGTGTAGAGTACAATTACGAACGATTTCAAAAATATGATACTTTCGAATGCGGACACTTGTGTCTAAAGTTTCTTTGCGGGCAACTAAATCGTAGGAATAAGTACAGTTTATATAAACGTAGTGCATAGTTTGATGACGTCAGTCCATCGTTCGCAATCATGGCAGATTCACTTACGCTGACTTTATCGGGCATCTCCTCCGTACTCGAAACTCAATATTTTCCACCCATCGAACTTTCTCCGTATAAGAATTATACTCTCGGACTCATCGAGCTGTTAACTTTCAATTAAATTCCTAACGTGGATACCGGTCACAATAAGTTTTACATCGGGGATGAAATTATTGCTATACCCACTGGAAGCTACGCGATAGAGGATATCGAGAACTACGTGCAGAGCGCATTGAAGGATAAGAATATTATCGTTAACATTAGACCTAACAATAATACGTTATTCAGCGAAGTTAAGTGTAACCGTGTAATTTTCTACCGAACGATTCCATAGGTCGTCTATTGGGCTTTACTCCACGTGTTTTGAAAGCCAATATATTGCATACGTCCGATGTACCCGTAACCATTCTCAAAGTAAACGCTTTGCGAGTCGAATGTAATATTACCGCGGGGGCCTACATCAACGAACGCAAGGTGCATACCATACACGAATTCTTCCCGGTCGTACCACCGGGATATAAGATCATAGAGGTGCCATCGCACGTCATTTACCTACCGATCGCGACCAAGACCATAGATCATCTCCAGATTCGAATAGTCGATCAGGACGGAGACTTGGTGAATTTTCAAGGGGCGGTGATAACGATAAGACTGCACGTTAAATCTATGCAATAATGGGAATCGGTTACAATAGAAAGATCGGTAGCGGCTATAATAGGAAACTGATATGCCGAAAAGAAACCGGTCATCGACCGCTTCTCAAAGCATTAGCACGTCAAAACGTATTGTTCCTGATAAGCCTGGGGCTCAAGGTTGTCGGAAGAGAAAAGTAAAACGTCCGTTCTGCTGTTGCATCGTTTTCATATTGTGCATACCATGGAGGAAGAAACGTTGAACATTCGGATGCCCGTCATCTTCGACGAATCCATAGCGCACTGCGAGACGCATGCGCACCAACCTTACGCCTCGTCAACGTTCAACAACAGCGACGAGATTCGAATCTCCGTTCAATACCAAAACCTGTGCTTACTACTGAGCAGAAGTTCGTTACACGTATACGGAAAGCTGGTTAAGAAAGATGGGTCTACGGTGACTGCTAGTACGGCTCTGGCCAATAACGCCATCTGTCATCTCTTCGGGGAAATTCGCTATGAAATGAACGCCAACGAGATCGATCGAAACAAGAACGTTGGGCTCACGAGTCTCATGAAGGGTTACCTTTCCCTAACACCCGGTCAACGCGTATTGATGAAAAACACCGGTTGGTTCACCGAGCAAACGAAATTGACTGATGCAGCCGGTTACTTCGACGTATCCATACCGCTGAGCATAATACTGGGATTCGCGGAGAATTATCGGAAGATCGTCGTCAACGCTAAACATAAATTGATTCTGACGAGGGCCAAGAGCGACGCCAATGCGATCGTGCAAACTGCTTCAGAGGAATACAAAAGTCGTAATTCAGAAGTTGGTGTGGTTGATACCGTACGTGAGAGTCTCAGATCGACGAAAGATAGAATTGTTGAAGTTCATCGAGAAAGATGCACCCATCTCCATGAGCTTTCGTACCTGGGAGTTGTACGAGTATCCTCTTCTCCCCACCACTTCGAAACACGTGTGGACCGTCAAGACGTCGACACAGTTGGAAAAACCTCGAAACGTCGTCCTGGGTTTCCAGACGAAGAGAAAGAATAAAAATGACAAGAACGCGAGTCACTTCGATCACTGTAACGTCAGAGACGTTAAACTCCTTGTCAGTTTGTCAGTAAATCAGTTTGCTCTGCTGTATGAGATGTACGCAAACTTTCAAGCGTCGTATTACGGTAAAGACCCTGAACCGCTGTTAAAGAAAAATGAATTTTTGGAGGATGCACCTCTGATCGTCATCGATTGCTCGAAACAAAACGAGTCCCTCAAGTTCGAACCGGTTGACATTCGCCTCGAATTTGAGGCTGAAAAGAATTTCCCCGTCGAAACATCGGCATTTTGCCTAATCCTGCACGATCGTATCGTTGAGTACAATCCGATCAGTGGCGGGGTGAAGAAATTGGTATAAAAAGCCTCGATCGCTTCTTCCTGCACAGTTTGCAAAAAGAAATGGAGGTCATCGTAGATCTGCAGGGATTTAAGAAACCGTCGAATAAATTTGTTTTAAAGGAGTTTTCTCTAGTTGGAACCGATAACTATTTCACCGAGCCCGTAACGTTCCTGTTTCAACCACCGTGCCCATGGGAGCGTCTTCCGGCCAAATATAAGTGTATGAACTTGTGGCTGGAACGAAATTTTCATGGGATATCTTGGACCTTGGGCTACATACCGTATAAGAGAGCTAAGAATAATCTTCGAGCCATCTTGCGAGATGCTATCAAAATCTACGTTAAGGGATTGGAGAAGAAGAAGTGATTAGAGAATCTCACGGGACAACCCGATCGCATTGTTGACTTAGGAGGTCTAAATTGCCCGTCATTGCAAAAGTTACGAAATAACACGAATACCCGATGTTTGCATCATAACGCTCCGCATTTTAATTGTTCGACCGAGAATGTTAAATTGTTAAGGGTCTGGTTGATGGAAATAAAGAAACAGTGATATAATCCGTTATGTGCATTTATTTAACACACACTCCAACCATCATTCGGCACGCTCCAAACAGTGAAATTCTATATGGT